GGACTCGATGACCTTTCAAGGTCCCTTCCAGTTCTAGGAGAGGGGATATCTCCATTAATTTTTTTTTTTTTTTTTTTTTTTTTTTTTTTTAAACAAGGCCATTGAGCCTAACTACACTATGGTCCCTATTATTTACTGGCTCAACTAAAGTTATTTCTTGAACCAATTCCTGCACCTTACTTGGATCTCAGTTCTATGTTCCAGTACTTGCTGTTCCAGGAAGTAACTGTTGAAGGTGTCAAGTAATACATTTCTATATACAAGCTATACACCAACCGTGGTTCTCAGCCAGGGGTCCGGGGGCCCACGGGCAGGTTTCACAGGGTCCGCCAAGCATGGCCAGCATTAGACTTGCTAGGGCCCAAGGCAGAAAGTCAAAGCCCACTGCACAGGACTGCAGCCCTGAGACCTACCACCCAGGGCTCAAGCCGAAGCCTGAGCAACTTAGCTTTACGGTGCCCCTGTGATGGGAGCCCTGAGCAGTTGCCCTGCTTGGTACCCTTCATTGCCAGCCCTGGTTTTTATATCCAGAAAAAACAGTTGTGGCACAGCTGGGCTGTGGAGTTTTTATAATATGTTGGGGGGGCCACAGAAAGAAAAAGGTGAACCCCTGCCCTATAATACATTTCAGCGTTGTCACTGATCATGGGGGGAGGGATAGCTCAGTGGTTTGAGCATTGGCCTGCTAAACCCAGGGTTGTGAGCTCAATCCTTGAGGGGGCCATTTAGGGATCTGGGGCAAAAATCTGTCTGGAGATTGGTCCTGCTTTGAGCAGGGGGTTGGACTAGATGACCTCCTGAGGTCCCTTCCAACCCTGATATTCTATGCTCATGCAGAAGGAACAAAGCAGGATCTTCAGATTGGGGGGGGACACAACAGATAGACTTAAAAAAAGAAAACTTAACTGAGCACATTTGATCTAGGATCATAAGACAGAATAAAAACAGAACCCTGCATTTTGTCTCATGTTTAAAACGATCGTTTTTCAAAAGACACGGCATTGGTGTAAGCTGGTACCCTGATCAGACCGTAATAAATAGCACTAAGAACAGATGATGCTAGAGAAATTAAAGTATCTCAAAGTGCTTTACAAATTTTAATTAACTAACATCCCTAGGAGGTTGGTGTTATTCCCATTTTACAGAGAGGAAAACTGAAGTACAGAAAGGATGGGAGACTTGAGCAAGGTGATACAGCGATAACTCTTAATCTTAAAATGAATTCGTAATTAAACTTAAACTTGATTGCACAGTTAGCAAGTGCAAAAAAACCCACATATTTGTTGCACATAATCTGTATGCCCTTATGTTCTATTGATTTGGATTGCTTAGTATAGGAAGACTATCATGTGATTATACATAGTTAAACAAGTTAAAATTGCTAGGCTCCATTTTAATTTTCATCCCCAAGACAACAACAACAAAAGTTGTGAGCAACCTGTAATGTTAATGGGTTTACCAAATATATTACCAAAACTGAGGGCCATGTTTGGATGGAGGGACTGTCTGCACCCTGTTGTAGGAATTGTCTTGTCTCTTTCTAGAGACAAGACAGGGAATACACACCTGAGGGCAAGGAATTCCAAATCCCTCCTCCTTTTACTGTGGGCTTGAGTGTTTCATAATTTTGTGCCACTTTGTCCAAAACATTTGCTACTACCTATTAGAACTACATTTTAAAATGTTTGCAGTAAATGTTTCATAATGAAGTTCACTGTATTTAAATTCTGGTAGTATTTTGCATTAGTTATGCATTCACAGGTTGAGTGTTTATATTTCCTTATAAGAATATGTTTAAGCAAAGAAACCTCCACTCATTTCTGAAGTAGCCCGCTAGAAGAGTTTATTAAAATTCTGCAGTTTGCAAGGGGCGGGAAGGAAGAGAGAGTCCTACAGCTTCTACAGTAGTTTTCCACAGATTTTCATTGGGACGTGGTTTACAACTTGTACTTCCAAGAACAATTTAAATATGTGGATGGAAACGTAATGCCACAACTAGAGGTTAGGACTCTGGCTTGTCCCTCGCTCTTGTAGCGAGCGGAGAGGTGGATGGGGCAGTGGAAAGAGCACATGGCTCTTCAGCAAACCCTCCCACCAACCCAAGAGTTTTGGAGTTTGGGGGGAGGGCAACAAAACAGAGTAATCTTTCATTCTCTGAAGTGAAGGTTTCGTTACTACTTTATCTTTTGGGGGCTGTAAGAGGCTATGAAATTTTCAAATAGATGACTTAAGCCTAGGAAAGCAAACGCTCCTTCCTATGAAGCGACACAGAAGTGTCATTTTGTTTATAACTTTCCTTCGTCTTTGTCATTTCTATTATGCTACCTATTTAGGCATGTAACAAGTTGGTAACAGACTTATACACTATCCCTTAAACCAGTATATCACAGACTTGAGTTCCCTTCCCTTTTGTGACTTACAAGGAAAAGACATGTTGGCTTGTTGCTGCTTTTATATGGATATTTTTTCTAAAAACAATTAGAAAGCAAGATTACAGACAACTTCTCTCCCCCAGAAGTTCAACATATTGTGTGCTGTTTCACGGCGAATTATATCTTTATGTACCAGGTCCGTACAGAAGACCAGGTAAATCTCCTCCCTGGATAAATACTCAATCTTTTTAAGAAGCATTTTTGTGTGCATGTAATGTCATTTTGAATACAGTCTTAGGCCTGGTCTACACTAACCCCCCAATTCGAACTAAGGTACGCAACTTCAGCTACATGAATAACGTAGCTGAAGTCGACGTACCTTAGTTCGAACTTACCGTGGTCCAGACACGGCAGGCAGGCTCCCCCGTCGACTCCGCGTACTCCTCGCGCCGAGCAGGATTACCGGAGTCGACGGGGAGCACTTCTGGGTTCGATTTATCGCGTCCAGACAAGACGTGATAAATCGAACCCAGAAGTTCGATTGCCTGCCGCCGAACCAGCGTGTGAGTATAGACAAGCCCTTAGGTTTATGTAGGTATCAGTACAAACCAAAAATGAGATAGCAACTGACTAATTTCTTCCTCCTTGTAGGAAACCTCAGCTGCTAATTCACATTTTGGGTTATACCAGATGACTTCATATTACACCATACCACATTTGATCTGCTACGAAGGGATATATCAAAATCCAAACTCACCATAGTACAATAGAAACAAGAAAAAGACAGACAGACACACACACACACACACACACACACACACAAAGTTGTATCCATCAAAAACTGAGCTACTTAATACCTACTATTGTGTTTAACAAGAGCAAGCAGATACAGGAAATATAGTGTCCACAAACACTAGCAAATGGCCTAAGTTAAATTGGATTTGTAACATTTCATTAGCAAACATGTGCTTGAACTTTAGCTCATTTTGATTTTTCTTCTTTGGTCCATTTGAAGCACTGCTTTACCTACTTCTTACTATTTGCCTCAATCTCATTTCTAACAAGCAAGCTTTCAAAACTCCCAGTTGTCAAATTTTACTTTATTTTCCTCAGGAAGGTGCCTTATATGATAAACATGCAAGTGTTTACCAATTGCCACAATTCTGAGGTGTAAGGAACCCAGAAAGATACAAGCTTATCAAGGCCCCATTGTACACACTCTACCTAAATACTCGGCTTATATGAATAATCTGAAGAAGTTGGCCTGGATAAGCAAAGAAGTCTAAAATGCAATGGCAGGGTTCATAAATTAATGCATCAACAAATTGTCTTTCATAGAGCTGGGAGCCCACTCGCTCAGAAATTCTACAAGTAAAGAGGGGTATGGGTATATTACAGGTTCTCTAAATAATAACGGTTTAAATACATCAGGCTGAGAGGTCAAGCTACCGAAAACAGATGCAAAGTAAGAAGGACCTACAAACCCATAACTAGCAAACAAAATTTTCCCCATCAAAACATAAGAGAAAGGACCAGAAATCATAGGAAATGTGAGTGGCAATTTAAGACATTTTAAAAATAAGGGTATCAGTCTGTGTCCAAAATTCACATGAAATTAGAACAGCACTTAATTTGCCATACAATACCACATGCTACAATACCTAAGCACAATAGGAGGAGCTCAGCACTGTGCAAGTGTAATGCTGGCTTTTGTCAATTTATTGACACCCCCCCCCCCCCCGACGTTATTATACTGATCAAAGTCAACAGGAGCTTTGCCCAAGTCAGGACTACAGAAGAGGGACCTCAAGCAGACCCTTAACATTATTATAAACACACTGCTGGAAAATACATATTGAACCTTCATTATAGGAGATGTAATACTGAAGTCTTATAGTACATAAGACTTACAATACATATACACCATTTTTATGCACAAAAGAGAAACATACCTGAACAACAGAACAGAGTGTTCCTTAGCAGGAGTGAAAAGAGTAACCATTCACAGGCACCTCGGCCTAAGTGAAATACAGATGATAAATTAATTTTACCTGTTCTGCGCCATAAACTGTAGCAAACTGAACAAACTCCTCTATCCGCACAAAGCCATCCCCATCTCGGTCTAGGGCATCAAACACAGCTCGGAGACGGGGCTCCTCTTCTTGACAGCCTGGAGAGTCATTAGTTATGGAATCAGGCTGGGCAAACTCCGGGGGCTGGCTCAGGTTGCTAGAGGAATGGAAAGTGGGGAAGAGGTCCATCTCCTTGTCAATCTGGGACAAATCCTGGGTACTTAAGGAAAGTGGCTCCTGGCAGCTTTGGGATATGTAATCTTCTGTGTCTTTAGTCCAAGGGGAAGTGGGAGTGAGTCCTTCAGAGTGGTTCTCCTCCTGGGAGGTCTCCATTCCTAAGTAAAACTCCCCTTCTGCTTGCAGGATTTTGCTACTTTCAGGAAAGCTTTCTGCCTTGTTTGAATCCTCTGGACTTAGCCCAGTACTCCTGAGTTGTAAATCCCGAAAAGGAGAAGAAACAGCCTGGTCCAGCACAAGAGAGAAGAACTGCTCCTCCAAATCTGTGATCTGAGCAGAGGCCAGTGCACCCTGCACCAGAGAAAGGTTCAAATCAAAATCACTCTGGGGGCAACCATGATGATTATCACCTGCACCTGACTCTTGTTCCAGGTCGCTGATTGGGTCGGTCGTGTCTTGGTCCAAGAGGCCGTTCTCCTGCTTTTCCATGCGGTATAAATACTCAATGGGCCTATCTGAGAACAGCGTAGGATCTAGCCCGGATAGCTTCATCTCCCCCAAAACCTGCTCTAGCACCACTGGCCCGCTCTCCATCTCTTGTAAAGAGGGCCCCAGGAACAAAGGGGCGTCCGGGGGCGTCTCCCTGGGGACCAGTACCAGGTCTGGGCTAGGCAGCTGCCCTCTCTGCTCCATGATGAGATACCCCCCATTCTGCTCGGCAAACAGAGTCAGCAGCGATGCCCGCTCCGATTTGCTCCCTGGGTCTGAGAGAGTCATTAACAAATCCGGCTCCATTTTCATCAGAAAAAAAAGAATTTAATACAAATCACAGCGGCTGCTCAGACCCTCCTAGACACAAAGGGCTGGGTTTGTGAGCGATCACTGCCCTGCCGTCTCCCCGCGGCAGAGCTCGGGTCTCCCGGAGAGCCCACCACAGAACCGCTGCATTGCTGCGGCTCCTGGGAGCCTCCTCTGCAAACGGGAGATGCGCTGCTGCCATTTGCCTGCATCCATCTTCTCCATCCCTCCGGCCTCACATCCCAGGAGGCGGCGGCGGCGGGGCAGCAGCTAAAGGAATCCCAATGGGGAGGAAAAGACAATCGCAGCCACGCACGAATCGAAGGCGCCTTGATGGCTGTCCGACAAAGCCTGCAGCCCGGGCTCAGCCCGCACCCCAGGGCTGCCCCCGCCAAAGAACCGGCGGCGCCCCCTGCAAAGGATGGTGCTGCTAAGCCACCAGCTCACGGAGGACCTGCTGCTCCGGCATCCCCGGGCTAACGGGGGCAGAGGCGGGCTGTGCTGCAGCACCGGGCTGTGCTCCCGGCCCTTCTTGTGGCCCGGAGCACAGGCTGCGCCCTTCGAGCTACTTCGGGACCTGGGCTCCCCCGGCGGCCGGGGAGAGTGCGGGGGCGCTAGGGGTCCTGCTCCCCAGCTCCGAGGGCTCCCGCCTGCGGCTGGCTACAGCCTCTGCTCTGGCAGCCGGCTGGGCGGGCCGATCTCCGCGCTGGCCGGCCTGGCTCCGCCTGCAGCCCGGGGAGGGCTTTGTTTCTCCGGGCTTAGGCTCCTCCCGCTCCCGGCGACAGGGGCGGGACTGTGTTCGCCTCCGAGCGGGCGTCCCAGGCCTGCTGGCGTGGGGAGCTGTGTGTGTCCGTGTGGTCACCCGCGGGGCTCTGGGCTGGGGGGTAGCTGTGTGTGTCTGTGCGCCCCTTCCCTAGCTGAGATTCTTTTTGATGGTTTCTCCCAAGCCTGAGAAAGAGGCAGGTCGGTGGCGCCGTGAAACAAACCCGCCGCCCGCCCGCCCGTTTAACACCAGCACTGCCCGTTCACCGTGAATCGCTCAATCCAGCCCTACCCTGCCTAGCCGCCGCAGTAACTAGAGCGATGATGTCACTCCCCCGTCATTCTCACCCCTCCCAACCAGGGCACGGCGCGAGGACCTTCCTGTCTCCGCCGGCAGCAGAGCTGGTGCGCGTGCGCGGGGTCGGAGGCGGGAACAGTTAAGGTGCCAGCAGCCTTCGCCCAGGCTCGCGCTGCGCTCTGCAGAGCCGCGCGTGGGTGCGAGGCGTTAGCTGTGCGCGGGGTGGGGCGCACGGAGACCGCACCTCGCTGGTGCATTGCCTGGCACAGAGCAGCCCGCAGCGCGTCCGCTGGGTAGCACGGGCTGGAAGCTGTCTGAGCGCTGACACTCCCCTGCGAGCTGCCAGCAGCTCCTGCTCTCTGATGCAGAACTAGCCGAACAGCCTAATAACTGACCTGCTGCAGGAGGAGCTGGGCAGGCATTGCATGAAGTGCAACGTGAATGGTGATGATTTATTCAGAAATATAAACGTCAAAGAACAGTAATTGATCAGCAGGAGTTAATACTAGCAACAGCAGTGATGGACATAGAATAGCTTCCTGGCAAGTGCCCTGGGGGAACAACCACCCTGCTCCTCTCAGAGTGCTAGGGGGGACACAGAGCTTCTCTTGACATCCCACCTAGATGGGGAGGGGCCTGGGATAGAAAATGTTGAGACCATTGGCCCATAGCCTACAATGTGACTTCAGTGGGGCTCCTTGTGTTATGAAGCTTTCCTCTCTGTAATTAGCGTCTGCAGGATTGTTCTCAAAGTATTTGAGCACCAAACAAATAATTAAATATTTGTATTTGTGTAACACCTGGGAGCACCACTCATGAAGCAAGACCCTATTGTGGTAAGCGCTGTCTAAACACCGCCACTGTTATTACTTGGGTGTTATTTATTAATAATCCTCATTTTAGATGGTAAGTATGAAGGAACTCTTACAGCATGCCACAGCTGATGATGAAGTTACCCCTCATAGCCAAGGCCAGCTCTGGCATTTGGAATGCTGTCCGATCACCTATGCAAATGCATGGTTTGAGCATTGGCCTGCTAAACCCAGGGTTGTGAGTTCAATCCTTGAGGGGGCCATTTAGGGAACTGGGGTAAAAATCTGTCTGGGGATTGGTCCTGAGGTCCCTTCCAACCCTGATATTCTATGATGATTCTATGAAGCATAAAGCTAAATGTCTCTCAGGCAGCCGTGAGACATGGGCAAGACATAGACAACACATCATTGCCACATTAAGCAACTTGATCGGTTCCATATGCACTCTCTTAGGGCAGTTTGCAGTATTAAATGGTAGTGCCAGTATATCCTTTTTGAGATGAGGAGACCACATCTGTACGCAGTATTCAAGATGTGGACATACCATTGATTTATATAAGGGCAATAATATATTCTCTGTCTTATTCTCTATCCCCTTTTTAATGATTCCTAACATCCTGTTTGCTTTTTTGACTGCCGCTGCACACTGCGTAGACAACTTCAGAGAACTATCCACAATGACTCCAAGATCTTTTTCCTGATTTGTTGTAGCTAAATTAGCCCCCATCATATTGTATGTATAGTTGAGGTTATTTTTTCCAATTTGCATTTCTTTACATTTATCCACATTAAATTTCATTTGCCATTTTGTTGCCCAGTCACTTAGTC